AATATATATATCTGTATATGAATATGCATATATATGTATAATGTATATATATACATATACATATACATATACATCTATATATATGTATGTATTCTGGACAGTTCCAAGAGCCATTCAATTTCCATAATACCTGTCCACATGGCCACATGGTCAAGCACACATTGTTCGCAAAATTTTCTTTGTCATGCCACAAAATTCACATAAAATTCACATTCACGCACTCAGCCAGCCAACGTAGACAGCTTAAAGTTCTCATAATAAAAAAAGAAATAAATCAATAAAAATAAAAATAATAATTATATTCAGTTTGTGCCAAAGGAATTTCAAGTATAACAAATTCAACAGCTTATTGTGTCTTGAGAAGTACATAGAGAGGCGCAAATGAGTCACAATATGCAACGCAGAGCAAGTTAGCCGATGGGAAAATATGTAGAAGAGCGCTGAAATATATGAAGTGATATATAAGAATGAGTTAAGTGCTCTATAAATAGAGAGATCTAGGATTATATATAGGATTATATATACAAATGTATAGCTATATATCTATATGAATTCTTGTGCTATCAAGTAATTGCAATAGATGTTGCAATACTTTTGGCAGCTCTGGCTCTTGCTTGGCTTGTATGTCAATCAAATGGCTTATTTGTGAGAAGCACATAGAGCGGCGCAATGGCAATTAAACAGGGCGACGGAAACCCATTAAAATGTTGAGTGGCCATTTGGGCAGTCTGCGGCGCTGCTTTTGGCCCGAAAACTAGGCAAAAGTAGCAAAAATGCCAAAAATCAAGAAAAACTTAGCAGACGCGAGTGTGTGTCTGTCTGTGTGTGTGTGTGTGTGTGTGTGTGCGAAAGTGCGCACAAATATTTTCAATTACAAATTGTATTTTTCCGTTTAGATAAGCAAAATTTATGGCAGTTCCAGCAGCTCAGGCCAGGCAACTGCTTGCAGACGCTACAAACTGCCCCCTCCCCCCCCCTCCCCCTCTCTCCTTCTCTCTCTCTCTTAGCTGGCGTTCAATGGCTTCGCCTTCGATCGTCCTGCGGCAACAAACACTTTTGCGCTTCGCCGGCGACGCAGTTGTAAACAAGGCTGCAACACGGAGAAGAAAAAAAAAAAAAAGGGGGGGGAAAAAATAATGCAAAGAAAGGAAAAACAGAATAGAAAAGCCAGCGGAAGAGCGGGGGGGGTGGGGGAAACGCAAAAGGAGCAGCAGCAGACGGCGCAAAGGACCAAGCGACGGGGGGGGGCAAAAAGCGAGCCGCCCGCCGCCAGAACGTAGAAAAAACTACGGAAAAGATGAAATGACGTACAGATTTACAGAGTATTTTCTCTTACGTGCTTTTGTGGCGCCGCCAAATGTCACGTACGGCAGACACACCGAGCCGCAGGTGGGGCAAGCTCTGCAAATACATGTGCGTGGGGGGGGGTGTGTGTCTAGTGTGCGTGTTTGTGTTTGGGAGGCGTGCCACATCGCTGGGAGGGGGGGGGGGCTCATTCTAGTCTCGGTCAGATCCCAGACCAAATGAAATGCAATGCGAGGGGGGGGGTGCCTCGCAACTCATTACAAATGAAGACTCAACAAGGCCACGTTTGGCCCCAGGGGGGGGCCGGAGTCATGCAGTGCCCCAAAAATTCGTAGACAGCGGTCAGCCAGCCAGTCGAGTCGCTCAACGATTCGTAAGAAAAGTTTTCACTTGGCTTTCGGCCACAGTACGCAAAATGCTTGCACTTTAAATTGAATTAGAGTGAATATAACGAAAGGTGAAGGTGTTGGTGAGTGGGGGGGGAGAGAGAGAGAGCGAGAGGGAAAGCTGGCGAAGAGGTGGGCGAAGATTGGGAATGCGGGGGAGTGCACAACGTGCTGCTGCTGCTTGACAAAAAGTTTGCCATCAACGTCTGCGGCATATTAAAGTCGAAGGTGTTGCAGCAACGACTGGGCGTGGCTTCCGCAGCGCCTGGACATGGCACGTTTGTCGCTGTCATTTGCTTACTTTTTTTATTATTTTAATGCTTTATTGATAAGTCGTTTATACACACACACACACACGCACATGCACGCAGACCTATGCATATATATCGTATATTCAAATTTCCAATCACGTGCGTAGCCCAAAGACGGAAATGACAGACGACTGCTGCGGCTAGAGAGAAAGGGGAAAAGAGAGAGTGAGACAGTGAAAGAGAGAGAGAGAGAGAGAGAGTGAGTGAGTTGAACACTTTGGCTACATTAAAAAACTCTTAACACGATCGACTCTTAAATGTTATTAATCAATTATCGATCAGCCAAAACATAACAGATGTCATATATGTATATGGGCTCATATATACGCGTCTTTATGGCTATGCAAAGTCTTTTAGCTTTCTCATAAAATCAACATCAAGCCGAGGCGAGTCAATATAGATATCGTTATTCTATCTGTTGCCACATCTGAGCCATTGCTTTTTTTTTTTTTTTTTTTTTTTTTTTATATAAATAAAACATAAGAAACTCGATACGTTGATTGGCAGAGTATTTATGTATGTAAATGGATGCGTATGTGTCTATAGGAGGGCTTTGCTGTTACGATATGCCTCATGTATATGTATATATGGGCGAGAGTCTTGCTGAGACGATATATAAAAGAACACGATATGTGTGAGAGTCTGGGTGATACGATATTAAGAATAAATACGTGTGATATTCTCATACGATATTGTATAATATGAATATCGTGTGAGAGATGTGTTTACGATATGTTGGAGAGTCTATTCGATACTATATTGACAATAATTGCGGTATATTTGTGAATCTTTATTTTACGATATTCATGACATATGCAATGTATGACAGATTTTTACGATTTAGCATATTCTTTTGATACGATATAAGAGTTATTCTGATGCGATATACATAATATGTACCATACATGTGAGAGTGCTTATGTTTCGACATTGCTTGCATGCTTTTCTGATACGATATTCACAATGAATACAATTTATCATATTAGCTTCAATATATCCATAGTTCCAGTAATTATTAATATATGCGATACGATATGTCAGTTGTTCTGGTGCGATATAGACTATATCGACGATAGTTGTAAGAGTCTTTATGTTACGATATTGATATTACATACGATATATGTCAGTCTGAGTTTCTATGCGAGTCTCTATGTCTCTATGGTGCATGTGTGACTGATATTAATGCGATAGTGGCAATATTTACGATATTCGTGAGAGTCTTTATGTTGGGATATTCACAATAAATACGAAATATGTGAGATTTGCTCTGATACGATATTGATCATATTTACTAGATATGTGACAGTTGCTCTGATACGGTATGGACAGCATGTGTCACATGTGTGAGTCTTATCGTTACACATAATGTGAGAGCTGATACGAGATGATGTTGACAATACGAGATAGTATTGACAATATATACGATATAGGGCGTAGTCTTGCTGTTACGATATAAATACGTGAAAGATTGCTGATATAATTTCTACAATATATATGAGACATATGATATATGACATATATATCTGTTGCGCTATATTTTTCGCTTACGATATTGACGCTATATGCGCATCTTCCTTATTTATTCGTATCTCTTTTACGATATAGTCATTAAATATGACTTGAAGTTTATTTACTTCTATAAATGTCTGCAAACAGAAAGTATAGACCCATTTTGTGACCCTTACAGGGTATTCGAGTGTGGCAAAAGTATTTAAAAGTTGCTTAAAGATACATTTCAACTTCTATTTAGTTGGCGGCATCCGTCGCTGGGGTAAACAGCAGCAAAACGGCAGCAATTGCTAAGTTAATTTTCATTTGCCGCTAGTGGGTTGCGATAAGCGACGAGCGACAAGCAACTAGCTACAGTGAAGCCTCGACTTTCGCAAACACACACACACACACACACACACACACACAAGCGCGCGCGCGCACACACGTACACACTTTATTTGCTTTTCGAGCACTTTTACGCAACCTGATGCGCGACTTAACAAATTGCTCACACTTTCTGGCTCAAGCTACGAATCGTTTTTAATGCGTCCTTAATTAGTCTCAATGCAATTATATCCGTGTGTGCATGGGTGGTTGGGTGGCTGGATGTGACTGTGTGCGTGTGCGTGTGTGTGTGTGTGTGCTGCCAATTTTGTGGCACATTCGATATTTACAATTGGCCGCATTACTTGAGTTGCAGTTGACTGGCGGATGAGGGACCCTTAGCCACAAGTGTGGCGCCACTTGGCAGCAGTTGCTGTTGCAATTAGTTGCTTGTACTTCATGTACACACACGTGTATATAGGTATGTGTATGTGTGTGTGTGTCTGTGTGTCGATAAATCCGCAGCTTGCTCAATGTTGAGCGTTTTAATTGTTTGCCATTTGTGTGCGGGCTGTGCGCTGGCATGTGGCATGTGGCAAATGGCAAATGGCAAGTTGCAAGTTGCAAGTTGCGAGTTGCAAGTTGCAAGTCAAAGGAACTGCTTATGCCACCTTGCTTGCAGCAAGCTCGTGTTTTTCCCCCTCTCTCTCTCACTCTTTTTCATCTCGCTTTTGTTTTTTTTTTTTGCGCTGCAGCATGCCAAAAGCTTTAAGTTGCCATGCACACACATGCACACACACACACACACACACACACACACACACGCACAGATGCATGCGCCATGTGTACTTATATTCATATCCATATCCATATCCTTGTGCTGCAGCTGCAGCTGCCGCAAATTGCGGCACGACTTGTGGCATGCTCCACTTTTATTAACTTTTTAATGCAGCGTTGCCAGAGAAGTCATAGCTAAGCCCCGTGCCCCACTCCACT